TCATGCATCCTTCTGTTGCCTCATGCTGCACCGCCCAATAAGATTCAAGGAGACCAAATGTGTTTTGCAGCTGAATTCTAATCTACTAATCTAATCTACTAAAAAGGCAGATTCAGGTATCTCATAACCACCTCCATTTTCTGCTTTCCCTAACCCATATTTGTATTATCACTTCATCATCATGTGGAGTATTTTTAGACAGTGTATGCATACTGTACATGTGAAAGAGAGTGTCTTGCTTCATGTAAGTGATTGTAAAGGAAAGGATCATAGAGTTGGAAGGAACTTTGGTATTTCACTGAACGGGGGTTGGATTAAATGAACTCCAGAGAAAGAGCTGTTCAAACTTTGCTTGAACACCTCCACCAGAGGATACGCCACCACCAAGGCAGTCTCTCTCACCATCAAGCAGCTCTTGTTTTCCCTAATGTTTAACTGAAATCTGCATTTCTGCTTTCTCCACAGATAGGTGCTAGTTCTGCCCTCTACAGCAACAGCAAACACATCTGCTCAATTGTCTGCTTAACAGGCCTTCAAACCATTATATTTAGCTGCTTCTCCAGGCTCTTTGCATGCAGCCAGAGTTCAATAGGTACCGGTGTTCTTTAACTCAGCATTTCTTAGATTACAACATATTGCTTCATAAGTGGCCAGTCTGAGGACAGATGCTATTCCATTCACTGACTAACTTTTCCATCCATGGAAATAGCTGCTTAAATAATTTTTTATGTATCTAAATTTAAATATGAAGGATATTGGGAAAATGTAAAGATAGCCTTCACTTTTGTTAGGATGATAAATTGATGATTTGTAAAGCTGACATCAGTACACATTGCCCTCTTTTGTTCTTGTAAATATCTTCTTAGTTAATGAAAAGAGTAGTGCCTAATCAACTGCAGTTTTGAATTTAGGTGGAGAAAGACTTGTATAATAGGAATTGTGTATAAGAGCAAAAGAAATCACACAAGATTTTACATCTTAGTTCACGTTCACACCGAATTGAAGAATGCAAAGTTTCCTGGCAGTTACCTGAGATCACAAGGAAAACAGATATTAGTACTGCTGAGATGCAAAGAGTCACTATTGAAATAGACAAGCACAACTAGGTTTTCCCAAAACAATGTTTTTAACAGGAAACTAAAGAGTCATCAAATTTATCCTGCAGGCTTCAGGAAAGTTGTAATTTTTTTGTATAAAAGGCTCCAGGCAGTATGTGTTCTATGAGGCAAAGGTAATCCAGAATAATGAAAGAAATTTTAAAATAGGAGAACATTTGGTAATTCTAGGTACTGACAAAAATCTAGCAGTGTGACACGTGGCACCAATGTATCACACCATCACTTAAGGTATTCCTGTATAATTTTTAATGCACATGTTGTGTGTTCCAGAATTCCATATAATGTATTCTGCCATTGGTCATTTTTAATGCCTACATTTATATGACACCCTAGCCAGATGTCTATTAGTATACAATGGCCCCTGGGGGGAAGAAACACACAGGACCCTTGGTGTTATCCATCAAGAGAGACTAGGTGACTCCACGTCAGGAATGTAGCCCAAAACTTCTGGAAATCTACTTTCTGTTCACATATACTCTAGAGAAGCCTTCCCCACCCTAGTGCTATCCAAGTATTCTGGACTTCACTTCCCAACTTCATTAACATGCATCCATGTTGTCTGGTTCTGATGGAAGCTGGAGTTCACAACGTCTAGAAGGCACCAAGCCGAGCAAGAAATTTCCAGATTCCAGCCAAGAGTTAGTAGTGGACAGTTAATTAAGCCATGTACAAGTGGCCAAACCAATTTATTTCCTGCTACAGTCAGACTGTGTCCAGCTACAGTGGCATAAATATACAATATTTTCAACCTACGTTCCAAGTTTCATCCTTGATTCATCCTATGTTCCAAGTTTCATCCCTTAATTTAAAATGAGGCCAGCCAACAGAGGAATGTGGTGGTTGAACTGGACTTCAAGCCAGACGTACAGGCTTGCTGTGAATGTAGCTGCAGCAGCAACCAACTCATCCAGCAGAATTGTGTGGGAACCATTTAAGACTACATTATTGACAAAGGCTTCTGAATTCTCCCACAGGCAGCAGGAAGGATACAAGCAGCATCAAGCAGCCTCAGGGTCACCTGTAATGTGGAAAAGCTGGTGCAGAAAGGCTCCTCCCCTGCCACTCCCTGCTGGTTCTTCCCAGCTGCTAGGACCAGATAAAACAACAGGGGCTGGGAGGAATGAATAGCACAGCTGTTGAATCACCAAATAATCCTGCTGGTTCACCAATGTATATGGACCAGTCTGTTTCTCTTTGCATTGTGGATTCATGGTGAGCAAGTGTTTGCAGAAGTAAAATGCTGAGTCCAGTCACAGCGATGAGAGGACCATGACCAGGCCACACTGATTTTCCTATGTTGGCCAAATGCCAACAAAGCATTTAAAAGCCAAGGTACCCTTGATGGGAAAGCAATCCTTCCATTTCACGGATTGATTCCCTCTACAGCATGGCCACCACAGTCGACAATGCAGTTCTGTGTAAAGATGACTCATCAAATTCAACTGATATCCAAGAAAACCCACTTCGGTTTACAGCCCCAGCTGCAAAAGGCAGGCGTTAAGTGGTCCAGTGACTAGCCTGAGGTGAAGAACAAGATGGTACCTGCCTGAATCTGCCTCCAGGAGCAGACTGGATCAGCTGTTGGACCTGATTTCAACACTGGTGAAGGGGCAGCGCCTTCCACCTCATCCAAGGGCTTCCAGGTGGCTTAGGGAGCACAGGGCAGGCTGCATGGAACACACAGATCTGTCCTCCAACAAGCAGGAGGCTATTGGCACTACCCATCATCTGCCCTGATTATTTGCACTGGTTAGTCACATGAGCACAGACCTTAAATACTCCAGCTGGACACTTCGGTTGGCATGTGTCATGGGTGGCTGAAAGGACATTGCATTGTGCAGCAATACATTTTGTACCCTGGAATGAAACCAAAGCCTTGCACCAAGTCTTCTTTATATGAAACATTGTGTTTCTCTAAAATAGTTATTTGAACTGTAGCTTTTGAGTTTCTTAAACTCAGCAGCTGGCTGCAGATTTAGTCATACAGAGAAGACTCCTTCAAATCAATGGCTACAAGTTAATCATGAGTAACCTAAGTCCTATTGATGGGTTAACCCTAAGTATGACTAAATCTGGATCCATCCCACTGCCACCATCTTCCCCTCATATACTTTCTGTCTTATTTTGAAGGACTGGACTTAGCCATATACACACAGGGCTGTTTTTGTAGGTGACAGTAGTTAAAGCCCCTCAGCAATTCCACTCCTGAGAGGGCAAACCTGTTTGTGCTGCTGTTCTGTCATGTATCCTCCTATTGCACCCTGCTGTCTTCAGGTTCAGTGCAATACACTGTCCTGTTGCCAGTACGATTCAAAGCCAGTCACTTGGGTTCAGTATGTAGTTGTTCTTTGCCGCCGACAACAAAATATCTTGGGCCAGTCCTGTATATATCACCATTCTCCCTGATAATGCTTTCCTCAGTACTTAAACATTATGTTACTCCCTGCCTTAACCAACATGTACACAAGATTTAGTTCCTAGCTCCTTGCAAAAAGGTGGTAACCAGACCACTCCTGAAGAAACGCAGTCTGGATCCAGAACAGATAAGCCATTATAAAGATGCCCTTCTCTCAGACCCAACATGCAGCATTGGACCCAGAGAAATAATTTTTCCATGTATGTCCCCAATTTGGTGGCCTACATATATTGTTGGACTTCAACTCTCATCAGACCTAGCCAATGTGGTCAACAGTCAAGAATACTGGAAACTGCAGCCTAAAACATCTAGAAGACGCCAGCTTGAGAAAAGCTGCTCTGGGATGACCAGATGTCAAAAGACAGCAAGGCAATTGCATCTTTAACAATGGTGCAGGAGGGAAATTTTAGTAGAGACAGCCAGGCAGAAGAAAAGCTGCACCTCCTGGAATCCCCAAAGCCACACAATTATTATGGAGACAAAAGCCCTTGTTCTTCTCTCTAACTGATGGTTCTGGTTTCATCAGAAGTTAAATGGCAACCACAAAAATGATCTTACTGGGGTGACCTACATAGGATGGGAATGGGCCTGTTTTGTTCACAACCAATCAGACCAACAGATGCACTGGACTGTGTCACCAATTGACCAATTGACCTGAGAGAAGTATCCAAAGTAGCACTATATATGGTCCTAAAAAAACAATTAAGCATTTGGCTGAAGGGAGGGAGGAGGCCCTCCAGGTCTGTAAAGATCGAAGACTACAGGAATAGAGCATCATTCTACTCGAGGCATGATGGACTACTGCTCTCAGAACACCCCAAGGCAGCACAGCCTTGGTAGTCCAAGACATCTGGAAGGTACCAGATTGAGGGAGTCTGGCCTAGAGTATAGGATATCAATGCCTGTGCTCAGATTCCATCAATTCCACTTGGCTCACTGAATAGCCTTGGGCAAAGCTATCAGTCTAGCCCAGCTTTCCTTCTCCTGGTATCCTCCAGATGATTGGTCTACAACTCCCATTGTTTCAGCCACCATGGATGCTGTCTGGGAATGATGGGAGTTTCATTCCAACATATCTAGGACTTCAAGTGGGGGAAGGCTGAGCAAAGCTGTTATTCTGAATTCTTTGAATGAACAGCAAGGTAGGAAGGTGACAGTCAATAGTACAGAACTGGAGTGTTTATTCAGCTGGCAATATGATAGGAGATGTCATATTCCCTTGTGTGTTACACCTGGCTAGTAAATTGACTCCCTAATCTCAGAAGGTCTGAGGTAATAAAGAAGGCCAGACGATTTGGAAAGAGGCATTCAAAAGTTCTAACTCTAGAACCAATGACAGTCAAGAGGCAAAAAGGCCTTAGTTCTCATTCTGTCTGTTTCTCTCTCTCGTGTGTGTGTGTGTGTGTGTGTGGTGCGGATAGGGAGGAGGTGGGCTGACCAGCCCCTCCATTGGTCCTTGTTGTTACCTGGGGGTGCAACTCGGTCCTGATACTTGGGCTGGAATTCGCTGATGGTGAGCAGCATGACTTGAATGGTCCCAATGAAGATGCCTGCCAGGCAGCCGTAGAAGATCACATAGAAGAGGAGGATCTTAACTGTGACGAGAGAGAACAAGGACAAATAGCTGATAATGCAGGAGAAGGATATGTAGGCATGCAGCAGGTTCTCAACATTACCAACACAGGTCACCTCAGAACAGAGATTAATGCCACTGGAATCAAAGAAACGGTGCTCAAGGAACGACACTGGGTGATGGATGGGTTTTTAAAATTAATTTTGTCTGCATTTTGCGGATTGTCAGGCATTTTTTGTTCTGCCATCCCTTCACTGATGGAATGGGATTGATTTTTACAGAAATGTGATTTGTTCTCAAATGTGCACTTGCATTAATGCACATTTCTAAATGAACAAAATTGTGCAAGTCCCACCCCCCAAGATGTAATAAACCATTTAGTAATTCCATGGAATTAATGTGACACAGAAAAAGCCAATCCACTGTAGAGTTTGCAAGTCAGATTTATAGATTTGAATCTGATTCAGATTTCTCCAGCATCCCTAGCAATGCAGCTCCCAAAATTAGCAGAAAATGCAGATGTCGGAAGGATGCTTGTTCAAAGGCTGTGAGCGAGGGCAGCTTTTCAGAGTCCATCCCCCACCCCACCTCCCAGCACATTATTTCATTCTGTTGAAATTAATGGTCTTCCTTTAAAAAAGGGATTCAACAAATTCATGGTGAAGAGGTCTGTACAGTATCAGTGGTTATCAACTGTGATAAATATGTGGCGCCTCCAATCCCAGAGACAACCTACCCTCTGAACACTGCTGTGGCGCTGCTGGGGACACGCGGTCCTGCTTGTAGCGGTATCAGGACAAACCTTGCTGCAAATAGCATGCTGGCCTAGAAGGATTTGCTTAAATTCACCGGGGCGCCTCTTCAAAGCCAGTTCGCCCATTACCCCAGGTTCACTCCTAATGCTTAACTCGGGTGGTGAGTCCCAAAATAACTATGTACAGCCAGAATGGGGCCACTGGGAAACAAGGAGGCACAAGCAAGCCCAGGGAGATGCCAGATGTGCACCATTACGTGCACATAACTACCTTGAAGGGGACATATATTCACCTAGTGAGGACTGGGCATATTCAGTGGGTACAAAATATAAGGCAACAGATGAAAAAGAAAATCACAACCAGGGGGCTGTGGAAGGAGAGTGAAATCCAAAGATGCCGTGCAGCCTGGGCTCACATGGATGCAATGCTGGCACTTATTAATAGGGTTCTCCCACCCACAGCCTTCCCCCGCCTCCGATATTACTGCCATTCCTCATAGTGCCTGGGGGGCTAGCTGATTAATTTTACCAGCAACTATTGTTCCCTATTGTAATGCAATTTTTTTCAGTCTTGAATTAAAAGACATTGGCTTTAGAAAGGACCTCTTCCTGGTGGAAATGAAAATTGCCAGAAGTGGTTTGTTGCTATGGCTCATCACAGCTGGCTAGCTTTCTGGACTCTTGGCAGTGTGCTTACTGGGACTGTCAGGATGAGTGCCTGCACTTCGAAGTGTACAAGTACATTACGATTTGGAAGGACGGAACTCTGAGCAGGAGCTCTCTATTTAGGAGAGCCATTTTGTTGCAGGACTCAGTTGCACAGGCTCCCAGTGAGTTAGGACATGGGAATGACCCCTACTTCATCCACTCCTTGCTTTCTTGTAGACCACCAGCTGTGAGTTTTTGGGAATTACACCTGTATCTAAGGCAGCATGACAATGCAATGCCTTTCCCAGCTTAGTGCCTTCCAGGTGTAATATAGCCTATCTCAATCCAGTAGCCTCTAGGCTGGGGATGCTGGGAGTTGTAGTCTAGCACATCTGGACAGCAGGCTGCTCTAATACACCTTTGAGGAACACCATGCATTGCACACCTCCAGGGTTTAAATGTCCTTCTCGCCAGCATATATTTGAACTCTGTAGCACTATATGACTACAGACCTGCTTTTATGTGGGATATTAAGAAACTCATCCAGTACGAGTCACACATTCTTGTTACAGAGTTGTAATCAGCAGGATTAATACAGAAATTACATAAGTGATTAAAAGCATGGTGGTTATTTGAGGAAGGGGGTAAAAATTAAAACTTTTATTTATTAATGGGCCTGTTCCAAAGAAATGCTCAGCCTTTGAAAATCTGGTTGCATCGGTCACTGGTTTACAGGGATTAGCTCTACTGATTAGCCACTGGGTAACACATTGTACTGGGCATCACAGGGCAGCCCTACCAAATGGCAGTGCCACCTCATGCCTGGTTCTGCTATATTAAAAAGACCACAGCAACACAGCATGTAAAAATGAGGAGGTCTGACCACAAATTGCGTTGTAAAGGTGGTGACTTTTAGAGTAAATGTTCATGTGGGGCAGTGAAAGGGAGTAGGCTCCAATATGGAAAACTTTTTTTTCCTCTGATAACGTGCCACTCAGAGAGGGAGGGGAGGGGAGGGGAGGGGAGGGGAGGGGAAGCACAGAGACCAGTAGCAACAACAATTCTGGCACTCTCAGGGTTAACACACTCTTTAGTAACCAGGCAGCAGAAGGCAAATAGCTGTGACGTCTGAGAGATTTGGGCATTTTTTCCAGAGGACAGTCATAGCGGGGCTGCTGCAACGAGCCAAAGAAGAAACCTGATGACAGCAAGGTGGAGTGTGTGCTTTAAAGAAAATAGGTTTGTTTTTTAACAGAAATCAGAAGAGCTCATGAGAGTGATAGGACACGACTGTAACCCAGCCTTCCACTACGATGTTAATAGTAACTCTCAGCCTGACAGTACTCAGTGTTCCTTACATTACAGCAATAACACATTCTAGTGAATGTAGGATATACTCTCAATATTTTCAGTGCAACAAAATGACCTCCTTTCTGATCCCCTCCTGGTCTGGTTGCTCTTAGAAAGACTTCATTGTCATTTCCCTGCCCTCCTCTGCAGTCTCACACCAATCTAGTGCCCTCAGGATGCACTGGATTACAGCTCTCCTCATCCTCATGCAGCATGCCAGTGCTGGCTACAGTGGATGGGGATTGTAGTCCAGTGCATCTGGAAGGCACCAGGTTGGCAGAAAGCAGCTGCACAGCCTCTTAAGAAGCAGTTTTGGTTTTGTGCCCATTTTGCAACCCCAGAGAGGCTCATGGTGCCACACACCTTCTGACAGATTCCAGGTTATCTGGCATCAATTGTCTGTTTGGCATTCATTCCATTTGCACCTGTCATGTAGATTCTAACCAAGGATCAAAACCCAGAAGCTCCGGATGTGTCACTTCCAATGGGACATTGGCTGGATTCAACCCAGAGATGGTGCAAGACCAGATACTATAATCTAGCAGCTCTTTCTAGCTGAGTAAGAAAAAGATCTTGTACTAATCTGTGAATCATTCGAAAATGTACCTCAACCCCTCTCCCTCTCCCACACACCCCTAAATTCTATTTCTAATGCTAGCTCTTACTAAATAAAGCCATTCTTCTTCATGATGAACAATATTTTTCTTTCTCTCCCCTTAGAGCCCTTTGTTGCCCTGACCTCAGTATCATGGATGTTTCTAAATTTGCACAAAGAATTTAGAAGGGAATGGAAAGTTCTAGATAAGAGGCCTGCTCCTCCAATGCAAGGATCTACAGGGAGACTCAAGGCAGCTTGTTCAAACCCCAGCAGAGGGAGGAGGAGACTCAAGGGCAACCTACCCTTTCCTTCAAGGGCAGCCCAGAGCTAATGTGCTCTTGCAGAAGGCCTTGGTCCTCCAGAACACCATCCCCACAGTGTATTATCAGACTTTTCCCACCTTTAACATGAAAAAAGGATGAGGAAATAAAAATGCATTAAGGGCTTATTGGCTGCAGAAGAAGAGTCTATGAAAAAGAGAGATCAGGCAGGCTGACAGTCAATGGCACTGTTCTGAAGATCCACACTGTCTTACAAAGATTCATCCCTGAAAAATAATCCATTGGCCACTCAAATACTGTAAGACCATGTGAGAACAATTGTGCAGGGAGAAACAACTGGACAGGAGGTGCAGGAAAATCTTTGGTGTCCTTTGAATTTGTGCAATGCAGAGTCAGTGTGATGACCCTGGAAAATGGGCCTTGGTCATGGAGTCAGGGAGACGCCTGGCCAAGGCAAGCAAGTCAGGTGAGGGTATCAACAGTGAGAAAAGGGTTTTTTGTGTGTAAATGATGTATGTGCATGCTCTGAACCTCAGTCCAAATCAACTTAGGTATAGTTGCTAGGAGACAAGGGCCTTCAAGGGCTTTATTTCTAAACCTCCCTTGCTTCTTTCCCACCTGACCTTTCTTTCTCTCTCTCTCTCTCTCTGCAGCTCACTTGGGCCTGCCCCAGATGAAGGTGTGTGTTAATGTGGACAAGAATAAAAGAAGGTTCCAAGGAGCTGGTAGCCCACCCGTAGGTGAGTCCCTCTCTTCTAGCTCACGGGCACCTTAGGTGGCAGACCTTCAGCCTCTCCTGCAATTGCAACCGAGAAATCTTCCATTACCTCTTAGCTGGGAAGGTGTCACCTTGACTAACCTTGAGCGGTGATGCATTATTAACCCTTTTGGGTTGACAGAGGCTGGGAAGGCAACCCGAACACCAGCCTCCTTTTCTGTCCCCATAAACTGTTTCCCGGCTCGTTGTGGCCATTTCAGAGAAGAAAAGGTGGCGGTGGGGGGGAGCTACAGGCGCCAAACGCACACACGCGCGCTCGCACCTCCTCACACGCAGCGTGTGTCCCCCACCCTCGCCGTGGTGCCCTTTCCGATCGACATGAAAGCAGCCGCAGTGACTGCTCTCCTGGTGGGGAGCAGGGGAAGGCTGGGGGCGATCCGGCTCCCCCTCTGCCCCCCCCCACTCTCCCTTACCCGCAGTCACGATTCCTGCCTTCTCTTAACTACACATCAATGCCCTTCAGCACGACCTTTGCGGGCGGAAAAGGGAAAGAAATCCAAGGGGTTCTTTCTAGCTCGCAGAGGCAACAGGCAGTAGCGGAGCGACAGAAAAGTCCACGCACAGCCGGGACTGTCTAGACAATTGGAGTAGCCCAGAAAAGCAAGCAAGTAAACCGGTGAGCCTTGGCAACGCCGAGGCGCTTCTCCGAAAGGTAATCAATGAGATCCAGTTTTTGCCTTCTCCCTCCCTCTCTCTCTACCTCGCACACGCATAGACACACACGCGAATCCCACACACACTACCGGGAAAACCCTCAGTCAGTCACTTCGTAGGTGCCGCTGACACGGTCGAAAAATCTCACTCGCCGACGCAAGATCGCTCGACGTCCCGTTTTCCCACTCATACCCGGTTATAATACTCCACACGTTTGCTTTTTCTTTCCCTTTCTTCCTTCACCAAAGCTCCCGAGGCGGAAGCATGGTGCATATTTTAAATCTGGCAGCAGGAGGAAGAGGTCAAAAGCGAACGAGAAAGCAAGCCGGGAGGAGCAGCTTGCATCGAAGGCGACTGCGGCGAGGGGCTCTTCAGCAAGGCGGCTTTCGGAGAGGCCCCGGAGGCGCGACCGTCGCCTCCCGCAAGCCACTGACCCCAGCCTCCTCCTCGAGCCCGGTGCCCTCCAGATACGTCGGCCGGCACATCTGGAGGGCGCCCGGCTGGGTCGCCTCCACCGCCGCAGATCCGCCCGCATGGGTCCCTCTTGGCGCGCCGCGTGCGCTTTTCGAGCGAGGAGTCGGGACGCGAAAGCGGGACTGGGGCAGGGTACTCACACCAGCTGCCGCCGGTCCTCCCCAGGAATTCCTTCTTCTCCGAGTTCCAGATGAATTTCTTCCAGTTGCCATCTCCTTCCTTTGCTTTCCCGCGAGCCATGAGCGAGCGAGGACCGAACTGCTATTGCCTTGGCGGGAGCGAAGAAGCGAACGGAGAGAGGAAAAAGGCCCGCCGCTTCCCCGAGGAGTCACACCGTTCCCGGCTATTCCCGCCTACTGCAGGACACGCGCAGGTCTCCAAACTGCCGGCAGGGGCTAGGCAGAAAAGGGAGGTCTTTGTGTGCCGGGCTGCGCGTCCCGCCCTCACGGGGGGCGGCTGGCTGTCAAGTAATCCTGGCTGGGACACGGGCAGCGCGCGCCTGCGAGGAAGGCTCCGCTCCCTGCCCAGAGAGGCGCACGGACTGCAGACTGGCTCGACCTGCTCCCAGCCGCCGGGAAGACGAGGAAGACTATGCGCGCGCGCGGGGGGGGGGGGGAGGCGTCAGCCGGAGGGGTGGGCAGAGGGAAAACCTGACTCGCACCAGGGAGGACAAATTAGCCCTATTCCCCTCCCACCGGTGCCGGCTTTATGGCCCAGGTCCTAGAAAGAGTGCCGCCCCTTAAAAATGCCGGTAGCCAATGAGCATATCAGCTCCTGCGAGGGGCGTGGCTTGGGGGATGGGGCCGAGGACGCGTTCTGCCAGCCGCAGCGGCTACGGGGAGCGCGCTGGGGCTGCGGCGGCTGCCTCCCCTCCCCTCCCTTCTGCGCCTGCTTCAGCACCTGCTTCTTGCTCCACGGCGGGGCTCAGGCGGGGACGGAAGGAGACGAAGGAAAGCCCAAACCTAGCTGCAGTTCCCTTCGCCCGAAGGAGAGGCAGAGCTGAGCCCTGCAGATACATGGCGGCGCGCGGGGGAGCGCGCACGAGAAGCCAAGGGGAACTCCGCAACCAGCTCCGGAGCGGGCCCTGAAGCCGAAAAGCGGCTGCCGGGCGAGAGGGAGGGCGGGCGGACAGGTAGTCGAGGGGCGGGGGCGGGGGCACCTGCCGCCGCTGGGACTGAGCGCTGCAGATTTGATCATTTACGCGCAAGGCGGCGGGGCTCAGCGCGGGGAGATCAGATTGGATAAGAGGCCGCGGGAGGTGGCAGAAAAGCAGCGAGGCGTGCCGACGCTGCGGGCAGAGACCGCACACCTGGGCTCGCCAGGAGGAGGAGGAGGAGGAGGAATCGTGGATGAGGGGAAGCCATACTTGGGGCGGGGGGGGGGGGGTCAACGGCGGTGAAATTGGACTGGGAGAAGCTGCAGGTCTCCTGGCACCAGAGTCTGCCAGTTGGGTGTTCTGGTGATGCTGCTTTGGGCTGTTCAGAAACGGGAAAGAAGACGTTAAAAAGAAAAGGAATATTAAAAGGATCAGTTTTGAGACTGATCTGTGGTGTCCCTTGTACGGCCAGAGGCAAGTGGGAATGGTTAGCACTCTTTGCCTGGTTAGATGGGCTACTTATAGGTAGTCAGGCTCGACTGGGAGACTCCGAGGCTGGATCCAGAAGCCATCCCTTCTAGCCACCTGCTTTTCCCCAGTGCCTCTCCCTCCCTACTTGGTCATGGCTGCTGCCCACTGAAGGTGGAGCTTTCCAGCCTGTCTGCAGCTTTGTAGCCTGGGAAAGCACTTCCCTGGGTCAACGTCCCACTAGTGCTGCTCGGTGTCTGAAGTCACCTTTCCCGCTGCAGAAAGTCCTTCGCATTCAGCGCTGTGGGGCTGGCTTTATCTGTCGTGCACTGCTTGTGTGTGTATCCAGGACCCCAGTTCTTGGAGAGGAGATACAAAAGGTTTACAGTTTTCATTCTTGAATACATGAAAATGTAGAATTTGAACCCGGACATAGGATGTGTGTGTGTGTTTGTGTAATTGGAAGGCCTTGGTGGTTAGAAGGCCATCACCCCCATGCATCCTCAGGAGTGGCAACAGGGCCCTGGGAAACTACAAAAGGGTTTGTTCCTTGGTGAGCAAGTGAAAAAAACACATGCTTTCTTAATGAAGGAGCTTTTTGCTCTTTGCATTCTCTTCTCCCATTATGCTCATGTGCCTTGAAGCTGAGTAGAAAAGGCAATGCTATGGTGACTTATCCCATCATTTTTCCTTTTCCTTTTTGCTCTTCTTCCTGTGCAACTTTTTTGCTGTCCCCTCATTTCTGATCCTTGCTGTACTCAAGCTTCATCACATACCAAGTCAACAATGGCACATTTAATGTCAACAGTACATCTCAACCCTTGCCAGTGTTGCCCTCGCCTGTGTTTGCATTGGAACACTTGCAAATAATTCAAGGCTGCTGGCCTGGGAGTGATGGAAATTCTGAAATATCTAGAAGAGGTCATGGGTAGGATGCTGGACTGGAGTTAAAGAGACAGAGGGGAGGCGACAGTTAAAAAATGATAATCAGAGTAAAAGGAGAGTTCAAGGTGCAGAGATGAAGAACTTAGAAGGGAAGAGAGATTTTCTCCTCTGTTTGACCTCAAAAACACATACTGCTTTACAGTGCAAGAGAGTCCTGTAGCAAATATGAAAAACACAATAGTCAAGCTGAGAAAAGGTTGTACATGACTATCAATTCTAATAGGGCTTTCCCCCATTTGATTCCGTGGAAATGACCGCTCGATCTGGTGCAACAGAGAAGCAGCTGGCATGCCAGCATTGCATGGTTTCCTGTGCAACAAAACGTAAACATGACATCCCTCTATAAGTATCTCAAAGGCTCTCACAAAGAGGAAGGTCAAAATCTCTTCTTGCTAATGCCATAGTGTAGGACACGGAATAATCAATTCAGGTTGCAGCAACCCATATTCAGGCAGGACATCAGGAAGAGCTTCCTCACTGTCAGAGCAATACAGCAGTGGAACCAGCTGCCTAGAGAGGTGGTGGGCTCTCCCACACTGGAGACATTCAAGGTGAAACTGGACAGCCATCTGAGTGGGATGGTGTAACTTGGTGTCCTGCAACAGCAGGGAGTTGGACCAAATGGCCTTCATGGCTCCTTCCCGATCTAATTTACATGCTGCTTCTCCACAAAAAGTGTCCAAAATGGCTATCAATGCACCAGCACTGTAAGTAAAAGAGAGCATCCCAATACTTCAAGTACATCAGTATAATAATAAGCAATGCAGTTCATTTCACTAATACGTTATAACATTTCAAATAAATTACAAAATAGGAAAGGTCAATGGTTGTAACACACTATCAGCTGTTATTTACCTGCAAAGTGTAAGCCAGAGCCAAATATACTGAATGCAGTCATACCTTGTTTATTGTGTTTTGCTTTATTGCACTTCACAGATATTCATCACATATGGATGCGTTTCAATTGTTGCGGCCTGAGGATGTGGACACGGTGCTTGGACTAGTCCAACCCACCACGTTTGCTTGGCCCTTGCTCCTCACGGCTGCTCATCAAAGCCAAAGGTGGGATATGTACCTGGGTCCAGGAGGACATCAACACCTCTCTGATGGGGGGGGGGGTCAGGTCCCCACCCCTTTGAAGGAGGTGGTGATCAGGCCCATCCTGGAATGGGCAACCCTGGACCCAGAGATAGCCACTAACTATAGGCCGGTGGCTAATATCCCATGTTTGGGCAAGATGCTCAAGCAGGTGATAGCCAGGCAACTCCAGACTCTCTTGGAGGACATTGACCATCTGCGTCCATTTCAATCTGGCTTCAGGCCTGGTTGTGGAACTGAAACTGTTAGCAGTGGCTGTCCTTAATAGGTACCTAGGTGGTGTAATGGCTTAATGAGGGCCAATACATTGAGGCTTAATCCAGACAAGATGGAGGTCCTGTTGGCGGGCGGTTCAGCCTTCTGGGTGAGCGATTTTAGCTCTGTTCTGGATTGGGTTGCACTCTCCCTGAAGGACAGGGTGTGCAGCTTGGGAGTGCTCCTCGATGCAGAGCTGTCACTGGAGTGCCAGAGGAGCGCTTTCCTTCAGCTTTGGCTGATCCACCAGTTGCACCCTTACCTGGATGAACAGTGCCTAGCAACAGTGGCCCATGCTCTGGTAGCTTCCTGATTGGACTATTGCAATGTGCTGTATGTGGGTCTGCCCTTGAAGATGGTCCATATAATTCAGTTGGTTCAGAATAGAGGTTCCAGGATGTTAACAGGACCAACAGGTATTCACATATGAGACCGGTCCTCTACCATCTACACTGGCTGCCAGTTGAAGTCTGGGCCCAATTTGAGTTGCTGGTGGTGACCTATAAATCCCTAAAAAGCTTAGGACCTGGATATCTGAAGGAATGTCTCCTTCCCTATGTGCCTACCCATTCCTTAAGATTGGAGGTGGAAGTCCTTTGGGAGTCCTCCTTGAAGGAGATTAGGAGGGTGGCTACCCGGAGAAGAGACTTCTTGGTGGTGGCACCCCGGTTATGGAATGCACTCCCCAGAGAGGCTTACCTGGCACCAACTTTGTATTTGTTTTGGCACTAGGCTAAAACCTTTTTATTTACCCATTATTTTAATGTTTGATTAGGTTTTAATGTGGGTTTTATCTTATTGGAATTATTTGGATGCTGTGCTTCATTTCATGCTGCTTTTACTGTAAGACCATCCTGAGATGCTAGTAGTTGGATGGTATATAAAAGCTTTAGATAGATAGATAGATAGATAGATAGATAGATAGATAGATATTGTGTTTTCTACAAATTTGAAGGGTTATGGCAACTCTATTGGCACCATTTTTCCAATAGCATTTATTCACTTTATTCCAATAACATTTATTCACTTTCACATTTTGGTAATTCCTGCAAACTTTTTCATCATTATTACATTTGTTATGATCTGTGACCAGTGATCTTTGATGTTGTCATTGCAATTGTTTTGGTGTGCCACAAACCACTCCCATATAAGCCAGAGAATTTAATTGATAAATGTGTGTATTCTGACTGCTTCATCAACCAGCCCTTCCCCCATCTCTCTCCCTCCCCTTGGCATCCCTATTCCCAAAGACACAACAATATTTAAATTAGGTTAATTCATAACCCTTCAAAGGTCTCTAAATGTTCACGTGAGAGGAAGAGTCACACATCTCTCACTTAAAATCAAAAGCTAGAAATGATTACGCTTAGTAAGGAAGGTATGTTGGAAGATGAGATTGGTACAAAGGGTCTAGCTTTTGGCCGTACAGCCAAGTTGCGGATGCAAAGGAAAGTTCTTAAAGGAAATTAAAAGTGCTACTCCAGTGAACACCTGACTGATAAGAAAGTGCAGCAGTTTATTGCTGCTATGGAGAAAGTTTTAGTAGTCTGGATACAAGATCAAACCAGCCACAATGTTCCCTTAAGCCAAAGCCTAACCAGAGCAAGGCCCTGACTTTCTTCAATTCTGTGAAGGCTGAGAATGATGAGGAAGCTACAGAAGAACAGTGCGAAGTTAGCAGACGTTGGTTCATCAAGTTTAAGGAAGAAGTCATCCCCAT